CTCAAAATGGCCTTTAAGGGCTGATCGGTAAGGACGGTAATTGGGTGCGCCTGGAAATAATGCCTTAGTTTTCTTGCAGTGGTGACCAGGGATAGAGCCAGTTTCTCTAGGGGCAGGTATCTTGTCTCCGCATCCAGGAGCGTCTTGCTTATGTAATAAATCAGCTTCTGGCGGTGCTCATGCTCACGAATAAGTACCCCGCTTACCGTAAATTTGGATACGGATAAGTACAAGAAGAGCATTTCTCCCTGGATAGGGACGGATAAGGTCGGGAGAGTCCTGAGGTATTCCTTGATTCCAGCCAGGGCATCTTCGCACCCCTGGCTCCACATATCCTTCCCAGCGCTCTTGATGGCTCCGAAGAAGGGTTTGCATTTGTCTGAGGAGCGTGAGACGAAACGGTTAAGTGCTGCCAGCATCCCCGTGAGCTTTTGGACTTCTCGGACAGTTCGGGGGCTCCGGATGTCTAGGATCGCTTGAATCTGATCCGGGTTAGCTTCGATTCCTCGTTGACTGACCAGATATCTGAGAAATTTACCCGAATCCACTCCGAAAACGCACTTTGCTGCGTTCAGCTTCAGCCCGTACTCCCTGAGGGTGGAGAAGGTATCTGCCAAATCTGCCAGATGATCACAGCTTCGTTTGCTCTTTACCAGCATATCATCAATGTAGACCTTCAAGGTGTTGCCGATCTGCTTTTTGAACATCCGATTCATTAGTCTTTGGTATGTTGCCCCGGCGTTCTTTAGTCCAAACGACATCACTTTGTAACAGTAAACTCCCTTTGGAGTGATAAACGCCATTGTTTTCCTGATCTGGGGGATGAAGAGGGATCTGATGATATCCTGCTCGGGCATCCAGGAAGTCCATGCGTTCATATCTGGCAGTGGTATCCACTAGTTGGTCCACCTTTGGTAGGGGTAGTCGTCCTTGGGACATGCCTTATTTAGATCTGTGAAGTCTACGCAGACACGCCATTTTCCCCCTTCTTCTTCGCGCAAACCGTGTTAGACAGCCATTCTGGAAACTGTATCTCCCGAATAACGTTGGCCTTCAGGAGTTTGTCGATTTCTTTGTTGACCGCGCAGGCGTGATGCGGGGCCATGCGTCGTGGCTTTTGTTTTACTGGCTTGTGCGCCGGGTCAACATGCAGCTTGTGCGTGATTATCTCGGGGTCTACTCCCGTCATTTCTATTGCGTCCCAAGCGAACACGTCTGCATGTCTCCTTAGGAACTCAATCATCTCCTCCTGTTCGGCTGCGGGCATCGCGGTTCCAACTAAGAAGTACATTTCTACTTCTTCCTCCACCAAGGGCACCTTTTAGAGGTCCTCCACCGACCGTTCCGTTGGGTCAATCCGGGGTCATCCATTCCTGGATGCCTGGACTGTGATTGCTATTTTTCCATGATCTCTTCCGGAGCTCACCCCTTTTCTTGGGTGAAAGCCCCGACTCTAACAGCTGAATAAAAATAATTTTTTGCGGATGCTTGGTCCCCTCGGATCTCCATGATCCCCTCTGGCGTGGCAAATTTTAGTTTCTGGTGATAAGTGGAGTGCACCGCTCCCAGCGCATGCAGCCATGCTCGTCCCATGATCACATTGTAGGGAGAGTCCGTATCAATCACGACAAACTCGGTGTTGATGATGAAGGGACCTGTGACAACTGACAATGTGATTTTGCCTATGGGCAGAGCGAACGAGTCGTTGAAACCGATGAGGGGTGTCCTGACCTTGGTGAGGTCCTTGAGGCCAAGACCCATCCGTTTTAAAGTGTCAGAGTACATCACTTTCGAGGAACTTCCGGAGTCTATCAACACCCTCTTGACATCGAACTTACCTATCTTCAGGGTTAAGACAAGGGCGTCGTTATGAGGAGTCACCACACCTGTCAAGTCTGCGTCGGAGAACGTGATGCTGGGCTCCCCAGTCCTAGCCTTTTTACTGGGTGGCCCCCCATCATCCTCGGCTATCTTCCTTGTAAAAGCTACCCTCTTGAGATCGGACTCGAGCTCCTTGGACGTGGGGCGATCTAGCGGACATACATGGATGACATCTATGACGTTGTCTGGCTCCTCGGTCGGGGCAGGGGTTTGTCTCTCTACCGTCCTGGGCTCTATGTATTCTTTCAAGTATCCGTCTCGGACCAATCTTTCCAAGAACGATTTGTATACCCTGCAGCTTTCGGTACGATGTCCGAAATTCCAGTGATAGGAACACCTAACCTTTTGATCACGGGTGGAGGGATCGCTCTGTATCCTGGGTGACCACTTGAAGAATGCTCATGCTTTATCTTATGGAGCAACTTGAAGATGGGTTCCTTGAACATAGTGTGAACTCCTTTGAACGACCCCCCCGGAGGGGGTAGCAGTCCCTTTCGGGGAGTATCCTCCCGCTCCCTCTCTTTTCTCTTAGATTGGAGGGTTTGGCCTTTGCTGCTTCCCATCTCGTCCTCGATCCTTGAGTACTTGTTTATCTGGGCCATCAGCTCGCCCATATCCGAGGGAGTCTTCTTGGTCAGGGATCGGTACAGGTCCGTGTCCCTTGCCAAGCCGAGCCTAAAAGACGCCGCTGCCATGACTTCCGAGCAGTCCTCTACCTCATTAACCTCTTTCCAGTACCGGATGGCGTATTGGCGAAGGGTCTCGAATTCCTTCCATCTGAGCGTCAGTAATGATCCGATGTCTTTAGGCCGCTTACTCCCCGTAATGAATCAGGCTAGGAACTGTCTCGTAAGCTCCTTCCATGATCCAATGTTGTTCGGGGGAAGAGCCTCGAACCACTTCATCGCGGAGTCCCCCAAGCTCATGGGAAACACTCGACAGAGGAACCGTTGGTCTGAATGATACAGGGACATCATTTGCTTGTACTGCCTGAGGTGGGCTTCGGGATCGGACCGTCCATCATAAGTTTTGAACCTCGGCACGATGAATGTTTTTGGAACATCCATCTCTGTGATACCCCTGGTAAAGGGTGATTGCATGACCTCGTCTTCGGCATCATCCTGGACAGTCTTGTTATTTCTCCTGGATTCCAACTGAGCCCTGAGATCAATTTTCTCCCCAACGGGGTGTCTTCTGAAGTCTCCGAGTTCATCAATGGGTCCCCCATTTCCTGGGCGTCGCGTGGATAGGGTTGAATCCTCCTCGGACTCATCTCCTTTCCTCCGTCTTGACAGTCCTCGTCGGAGGTCGTCCAGGGCTAAAGGCCTTGCCTTCCTGGAATGGTCGTTAAGAGGGCGCTCGTTGGCTCTTGGTCGCTTTGGGGCCCTGGAGCTTTCTACCTTGTTGTTTAAATGATTGCTTAGATCCTTCGTTTCTGCCTCCCGAGCGGGGAGCCCACGAGAAAGGAATGAGTCCCTCGACCCTTCGCCGGAGGTCGCGAATTCGTTGAGCCAGCTTAGGACGTTCACATTGTCCTTTTCCAACTGTCGTAATCGATCCCCAAACTTTTCTTCGATCACCTCCGCCAGTTGACGAGCCAAAGGGCGGATCCTCCTGACCTGATGCCCATACTGGTTTGAGGGGTAACCCCTCTTGACTGAATAGAGGCATTTTTATTCCCATCAGTGTGATCCCTCTCTCCATGGTGACATGGAGCTTGTAATTCGAGACTTCTTTGTTGGGGACCTTTTCCTTTTTGTCGAGTATTCACCATGGTCACTATTCTTTATAGAGAAAAAACTAGGAAAACTAGTTGTTTCCCATAGACGGCGCCAGATTGTGCGTGCTGGATCTTGCACAATATAAACACGAGAACATATCTCTCCCTTGGTGAACTCGAGTGAGTCAGTCGAGTGGTCACCCCTGCTGTTTGGAACAGCCTGTGAGGTCCGGTGATAACCTGGAACGGTAATGGGAGACCCTCGTGGATCTTCGGAACGATCCAGTAAGGCTGAGGAAGGTTCCTGGGATAAAGAAAGACAAGTTAGAAGGGCGCCGGAGTGTTTTTTGGCGTATCCCCTCCGACAATTAAGTCAGTTTTTTGAGAGAGAGGAAGAAGAAAACACTAAGTATAATTTGTAGCAAAGGTTTTTCGTTGCATACCGTCTTGCCTTTTGCGAGGAGTATTTATACCTTAAAAACTCATGATTGCTGTCAATGTGGTCAGTAGGTGATCATTAGGTACAGACAACGTGTGCACGGCTTCCTATGAGGAATGTCTTCTCTTTTAACTGCTCGGGATCCCGAGCAACCAAGGCTGTGTCATCGGCCTGCCGACTGTTCAATGAGCTCCTCTCGGGAGGATGTAATAAATGTCCAGCCTTAGAGACATTTATTACCTTTCACTTCCGAGCTTTACCGCATTAAATGCTGTCTCATCAAGGGAATGGTGTAATTGAATGCTTGCTTCCCAAGTCGTGTGTCAGCAAGGGCATCCGGTCTTTTTGTCTCTGATGTGACACAATATGCCACGCGTCCGTTCACCATTGGCTGTGTTCCCTGTCTTCTTGAGCCTTCTGACACCAATTGTGTAAGACGAGGTCATGATGGCTAACCTAGCCTAGCCTAGGCTAGAGTCCTGTACATCAATAGCTCTGCGGGAGTAGAGAATGCCATTCTGGACGGTACTCCTCGGAACCGAGAAGGAGGTACACATAGGGACCGATGTACTATATCCCCCCGACCGAGGGGTACGTGTCGGTACGTAAACGTACTGGATGCCATTGATCCCAACGACCAGTACCTCGGGGGAGAGGGACTTGTGAACCGATGGGTACGTGTCGTGATCACAGTAACAAGAATTTAGTGACACCGAGGACACGTGTCTTCATCTTGGAGTATTTTAAAAATGTTCCATAAAAAAGGAAATCAAATTTTCTACTATCATTGCAAAATTATCGGCAATAGGGGAAGAAGAAAGTCAAAAGAAAAATTGACAAGGATTTCCCCAAGTGATGGCAGATACTGAGCATGTTTTCAATCGATACAAAGATCCAGAAAACTGAGTTTAATAAAACACCTCAATTTTTGTCATGTTTTTCTTTTGATAATCTTATTTTATGATATATGTATCTGTTGCTTAAAACGAAGAAACAGTGAAAAGGGTAATATAAGAATTTGAAAAAACAATATGTTGACATCACCGATTTTTAACAGATGCTGAGGATAAGAGTTTAAGCGTTATATGCGTAAATCTTTTAAAATTTGTCAAATGTAAAGGGTATGTTTGATCAAGTGATGCTTCAAGGGGCTGAATGTAATTTATCCAATTAGAAATGAAAAGTCACGCTATTCCTAAATATATGCAACTATGCCTTTAATTTCTCGGATCCATTGTCAGACTTCTCAGCATCTCTTTCCTCTCCACTCAAACCCATTCCAAGCTTCCTGAACTGCACCAGATTTCCCGGGAAAATTAACATCTATCGCCTGAAAACAAATTCATTAAACCAAAAACTAAAAGCATATATCTGTATACTGCTAATTTATCTAATATAAAAGGGTTTTTGCCAACTTCTTAAATCTCTTCTAAAAACATTAGAGTTTTCTAACTTATAGTATTTACGTATCATTGGCTTCAAAGGATTTAAAAACTTGGTTTTTACCTGCTTTGTGTGATGGATATGGGATATGAGTACGTTGATCAAAATTTGAATAATGATATTATTGAAGTCGATGATGATGATGATGATGAGCGGAGCAGATCACTCAGGAAGATGCATGGGCGGTTATCAGTGCATACTTCGAGGAGAAGGGTCTCGTTAGGCAGCAACTGGACTCTTTCGATGAGTTCATACAGAACACCATGCAAGAAATCGTGGATGAGTCTGCTGATATTGAGATCCGTCCTGAGAGTCAGCATAATCCTGGCCGCAATTCTGACTTCGCCGAGGTTCTATATGTATCTCTCGATTTGTTAATCAGCTACTGGTAGTAAAACTGGAGATTATAGTTTTTTTCCCCAAGTATTTGATGTTTTTTTCTGATAAAACATCATTGTGAATTTATAGGATGACAATGTACGATAAGCTCATCTGTATTAAATCAAGAATCACTTTCTTTCCGATTGTCGTTTTCAAACTTTTTTGTTTGAATATATATATTATGGTGATTTATATGAAATCGTAGTTTGAACCGACACTTTTAAATGTAAAAATTTGCAAACACGTTCTTAAAAGTTTTTCAATTGAAAGTCTGAGAAAGATTCGGAAAGAAGAAGAGAGCTCCTTCAACCTAATGGTTTAATCTAGTTGTGTATTGGATTCATATAATTGCAAATTTAATAAATTCAGCAGTGCAAATTAGGATTTGAACTTTGTCTAAGCTCTTTAATGGAGCCAACGGTTTTTGATATTAATGTGCAGACCATCTATAGGATCAGCTTTGGGCAGATATATCTGAGCAAACCCATGATGACCGAGTCTGATGGAGAGACTGCTTCTTTGTTCCCAAAGGCTGCCCGAATGAGGAACTTGACTTACTCATCTCCACTGTACGTAGATGTTACCAAGAGAGTGATAAAGAAAGGGTATGACTGTGAAGAAGTCACTGAGACTCAGGATTTTAGCAAAGTTTTTATTGGAAAGGTATTGACATTTGAGTTTTTGAGAAATATCACGGTAACTTTTCTAAAAGTTATGATTTAATAGGTTCATATTACGAATCAATCAGATACATTTAATACTCAACTTGTCTAAATTGTAATCGATATACTAAACTTGTGTAAGTTACTAAGTTGTAGTTGATCCCAACTTTTTTTAGATAGTAAGTTAGACCCTTTTAAAATCCAAATTTGACCTCAACTAAATTGTCAATAACCCCTATAATGCTTGGCATGGTACCAATCGCTTTTTTTTTTGGTTCAACGAGGTGTTTGAATCAGTTTACGTGTATTTCAAATAATTCCCTTATCGGTCTGATCAAAGGGAGATAATTCATGTCAGGACTAGGGTATTCGTGAGAAATAAATCTCTCGTGATACCAAATTCTGTATCGTAGTCATTTTCTTTAGTTCTAAATGATGGATTTTACTTCACAATTTTGATATTTTCCTTACTTTTTGCTACATTTTAGGTGTAACTTCATAAGTTCGGTATTTTTACTACATTTCAGGTTCCAATAATGCTCCGATCAAGCTATTGTACATTGTATCATAGCTCGGAGAACGATTTAACGGAGGTGGGAGAGTGTCCTTATGATCAAGGTGGATACTTCATTATCAATGGAAGTGAGAAAGTTTTGATTGCTCAGGAGAAGATGAGCACCAACCATGTCTATGTGTTCAAGAAAAGGCAGCCTAACAAGTATGCATATGTGGCTGAGGTTCGGTCTGTGTCTGAATCCCAAAACAAGTCCCCTAGTGGCATGTTTGTCAGGATGCTTGCTCGGACAAGTGCCAAAGGGGTAATTGATATTTTCTTTTGTAGGTGTCAATTTTACTCATTAGCACGCCACAGCACAAACATGAATATAACACGTGTATTCTTGCTGATTGCGAAATGGGTAGTTAATATTTTCTGGAGGTGTTAATCTTACTATAAACACGAACACAACGCAAACCCAAATATGACAATACTTGAAATTACACTACACGAAAATGTCACGACATAACTAGATTAACAGTCTAGGAATTTGTTGAATTGGTTGGTATCCATTTGAAGAGAGTTAGATGTAAATGCAGGGTTCGTCAGGGCAATATATCCGGGCTACACTGCCATACATAAGGACAGAAATCCCAATAGTAATTGTGTTCCGAGCATTGGGTTTTGTTGCAGATAAAGATATACTAGAACATATCTGTTATGACTTTCGTGATACTCAAATGATGGAGTTACTTCGCCCATCCTTGGAAGAGGCATTTGTGATTCAGAATCAACAGGTACTTTGGTTGATTCTTAATTGAATTTTGATACTACTTCATTGTCCAAGGTGCCAGTGGACGGTATCGGGCCAGGAAAGGAAGCTCTATGTGCTGCTATTTTTGTGATGCTAAGAGGGAGTATTAAATGGGAATGTTTTTCGTTTTCCATCTGTTGTTGTAGGTTGCACTGGACTACATTGGTAAAAGAGGGTCTACCATTGGTGTCACTCGAGACAAGAGGATTAAGTGAGCATTTTGTTGTTGGTTTAAGTAAAAATATCATTTCGACGCATTGTTTTGATTAGATCAGAAATATGTAACTGTTTCGAAAATGTTCTGGAAAGAGAATGAGAAAATTTAAAATTATGATTTCAAAACATTTTGACACACTTCAAAATATATAAAACTTCTGTTCTCCAGCTCTCATTTGTTTCAGTTTCCATAGAAATCGAAACATTTCAATCGTTTTGGAAAAAACCAGATAAAATTCTGATCCTCGGTTAATTCTGCTACTGTTTTTTCTTTTGCTAATGATTGGAGAACCGGTTGCTTGTCCCTTTTGTAGGTATGCCAAAGAAATCATTCAAAGAGAAATGCTTCCACATGTTGGCACTGGGGAGTACTGTGAAACTAAGAAAGCTTACTATTTTGGGTATGTTGTGCCTCTCATTAACTATTCCTCTGATATAACTGCAGATTCATTTTTTCTGAGAGATGTTACTGTCTGTTGCTTCACCAGATACATCATCCATCGGCTTTTACTTTGCACACTTGACCGGAGGCCAGAAGATGACAGGGACCATTATGCAAATAAGAGGCTGGACGTTGCTGGTTCTTTACTTGGCGGCTTGTTCAGAATGGTCTGCCATTTGTGAATTTTTTTAATATATTTGGTTGTTGGAGTTTTCATTCCTGATTGGAACTAATGTTATGATTGATGCAGTTATTCAGAAAATTAACCAGGGATGTTAGATCCTATGTTCAAAAGGTTCTCTAATTTAACTAGCTTTTTCTTGTCTCTATCTTTTGCCTTTTTGTGTTATATAAATTGAACCCAAGCATTTGCATGCATGAACCAGTGTGTTGATAATGGGAAGGATGTTAACTTGCAATTTGCAATCAAAGCTAAAACAATTACAAGTGGGCTTAAGTATTCTCTTGCTACTGGGAACTGGGGCCAAGCAAATGCAGCAGGCACAAGAGCAGGAGTTTCGCAGGTCGGGTTTTTATTTAATTTTCACTTCACTTTGTTGCTGATTTTTCTCTTTTTCAACCCATATTTATGTTCTTTATGTGAACAGGTGTTGAATCGTTTAACCTATGCCTCCACACTCTCGCATTTACGAAGGCTGAATTCGCCCATAGGGCGTGAAGGTGAAACTGCTTACAATATGTTGCTTTTAATATGTTGTTATTTTTTACTAGGTTGATACTTCTATTGTTTTTAATTTTTCTATAAAGGTCTCATTCTTTTCTAATTAGGTAAATTGGCAAAACCAAGACAGTTGCATAATTCGCATTGGGGAATGATGTGTCCTGCAGAAACACCAGAAGGACAAGTAGTGACCAAGAACCGTCTTTTCTTTTCTAATTTCTGGATTGCACTAAAGATTATAGTTTTGTGTTTTTTTTGTTCCCGAATGGAGACTATAGTTTAAAGTATTCTAATGCTTCATCACTATTTATTGCTGCTATATCAGGCTTGTGGACTGGTAAAGAACCTTGCACTGATGGTGTACATTACAGTGGGTTCAGCAGCTAATCCCATTTTGGAGTTCTTAGAAGAGTGGAGCACAGAAAATTTTGAGGTAATTAATTCTTGGTAGTTACTTGGCAAGACCTTAGATCCTTTTGCCTTCTCACCAAAGTTTGACAGTAATTATTCCACTTGTAGGAGATATCTCCAGCAGTTATCCCTCATGCTACAAAGATCTTTGTTAATGGTTGCTGGGTTGGCATTCACCGTAACCCTGAGCTCTTGGTGAGGACTCTGAGACAGCTGAGGAGACAGGTTTTTGTACCTTTATCAATCTCTTTATTAGATGTCATTTGTTGATTAAAATCTCTTTAGGCCACTTTTTTCACTAGTTGTCGTATGATTTCAGTTTCCACTTCAGTTTTGTATCACATGTAACATGATTTTTTCTGTCACTTTCATCTTGTCAAATTACTTGGTTTTGATAACAAATCATAAAAATTAGTTTTCGTGATCCACTTTATTATATTCTTTTGCTTTGTTTTTTTCTTCGCCTTCTTTTTAGTTGTCCTGTGGTTGATTAACTGACTTAATTAATCTTTTCTACTCATAGCTTGATGTCAACACAGAAGTTGGAGTTGTCCGTGACATTCGTTTGAAAGAACTCCGGCTCTATACAGATTATGGCCGCTGTAGTCGGCCATTGTTTATTGTGGAGAAACAAAGGCTGCTTATCAAGAAGAAAGATATCCTAGCCTTGCAGCAAAGAGTAAATACCAATTAACAATTTTGCATATTCTGTTGCCCCTTCGGTACGATTGATCCTATTGATTATTTTTCTCAGGGTTCCGCTGAGGATAGTGGCTGGCATGATCTCGTGGCTAAAGGATTTATCGAGTATCTTGACACAGAGGAAGAGGAGACTACTATGATTTCCATGACAATTAATGTATCTTTTCCCCCTTAAATTTGAGGATGACTCTCCCGACGAGTCTCCTTTAGGATGATTTTAGGACCATGTAGTTAACTGACCCGAGCCAGCAAAGGAGTTGTTATGACTGCTCTTTCTTTTTCCTTTCCAACAGGATCTTATATCTGCAAGGCTCAATCCAGATGAGGCTTATTCTGAAACTTACACTCACTGCGAAATACATCCATCACTAATATTGGGTGTTTGTGCTTCTATCATTCCATTTCCTGACCATAATCAGGTTATCTCATACTGCCAAGGATCTCTGCTGACATGCGCACGCGCGCACACACACACACACACTCACTCTCTCAAGCACTAACAGCATGATCCTATATGTATGCTTCTTGTGCGATTGATAATTTGGTGAAGCAATGCAGTCCCCTCGTAATACCTACCAATCAGCAATGGGAAAGCAAGCAATGGGGATGTATGTCACCAATTACCAGTTACGAATGGTGAGAGTAGGTTCTTCTTTTTGTGTACAATTATGCATCAAATTCTGCAGTCCAATTCTCATGTCTTCCCCTGGGATCTTATCGATGTTTGCTTCAAACAGGATACACTTGCCTATGTTCTCTACTACCCTCAAAAGCCTCTAGTCACCACTCGGGCTATGGAGCATTTGCATTTTAGGCAGCTTCCAGCTGGCATTGTAAGCACCTGGCTTGGTGATAATTAGTTGTTCTTGCTCTTACTTGATTAAATCATTGGTTCTTGTCTCGGTTTTGTGAAAGAATGCCATTGTTGCTATTGCCTGCCATTCTGGTTATAATCAAGAGGATTCTCTAATCATGAACCAATCATCAATTGATCGTGGATTTTTTCGGTCAATATTCTTCCGTTCATACAGGTATTAAGATCAAACGAGTAACTTAAGCATTTCCTCAATCTATCTTCTTAGTGTAGCATGGTTCTCTATTTTCAATTGGTAGGGATGAGGAGAAGAAGATGGGGACACTTGTGAAGGAAGATTTTGGGTGTCCTAATAAGGAAGACACAATGGTTAGTACTTTATGCATAGCTCATAAATTTTTTTTCTCGACTTCCTGCATATCGTCAGTTTAATGAGGCTGAAGTACAGCTGCTGTTTGCAGGGGATGAGACATGGATCTTATGATAGATTGGATGATGATGGTTTTGCACCTCCTGTGAGTACATGAGTGAACATTTAGTATGTCTATATCCCTGAAGTCCCCTTGATTGTTTGTTTATGAAATCTGTCCTTGTATCAGGGTACAAAAGTCTCTGGAGATGATGTTATTATTGGAAAGACCACGCCCATTGCTCAGGATGATGCTCAGGGTCAAGCTTCAAGGTACACACGCCGTGATCATAGCACAAGCTTACGTCATAGTGAACATGGAATTGTGGATCAGGTACAAATTACTCTTATTGGTTGTCTCTCCATGTAAGTTGGGGTGCTTCCTGCATATCATTTGTTTGGGTGATAAGAACAGTTTTTTCCATTTTTTTTTTTGGGGGGGAGGGGGGAGGGGAGAGGGGAATATTGGGGTTTAACTGAGGAATTGGCTTGAGTTGTTCCCCTTATCTTTGCTATGTTTATAGCCACAATGTTAAGTTTTGTAGGCTCAAAGTCATTTTTTCCTGCCTATTTGGCAGGTTTTGTTGACCACAAATGCTGATGGTTTGAGGTTTGTCAAAGTTAGGATGAGATCTGTTCGGTTACCACAGATTGGAGACAAATTCAGCAGTAGGCATGGACAGAAAGGAACAGTTGGGATGACTTACAATCAAGAAGACTTACCATGGACGATTGAAGGCATCACTCCTGACATCATTGTCAACCCACATGCCATTCCTTCTCGAATGACAATTGGTCAGCTCATTGAGTGTATTATGGGGAAGGTTGCTGCTCACATGGGAAAGGAGGGTGATGCTACTCCTTTCACTGATGTCACTGTAAGCTTTAACTAAACATAGGCAAACACATTCCTCTTCAAACAGCTTAATTTATGAGCTAATGTGTCATAAATTCAGGTGGACAATATCAGCAAAGCCCTTCACAAATGCGGCTATCAAATGCGTGGATTTGAGACAACGTACAATGGTCACACTGGCCGCCAGATTCCTGCTATGATATTTCTGGGACCCACTTACTACCAGAGACTGAAGCACATGGTGGATGATAAGATCCATTCGCGCGGACGTGGTCCTGTGCAGATCCTTACTAGGCAGCCTGCTGAGGGGAGGTCTCGCGATGGAGGTCTAAGATTTGGGGAAATGGAACGTGATTGTATGATAGCTCATGGAGCTGCACACTTCCTCAAAGAGAGGTTGTTCGACCAAAGTGATGCATATAGGGTTCATGTCTGTGTGCACTGTGGCCTGATTGCGATTGCCATTCCAAAGAAAAGTTCCTTCGAGTGTAGAAATTGCAGGAATAAAACCGACATTGTTCAGGTGAAAGAGCTTTCCTTTTGCTCCCCACCACCTAAAAAAAATAAAAATACACAGGATAAAATATTGTTTAATCAGGGTCTTGACAGTTGTAATATGTCATATAAACTTTAAGGTTATATCTATGCAGGTTCACCTACCTTACGCTTGTAAGCTTCTGATTCAAGAGCTCATGGCCATGGCCATTGCTCCAAGGATGTTCACGAAGGACGTGAAGCTATCCACAGAACAGAAGAAAAAAGGAGCATGATTACTTGGCATTGCAATTGCTGTGGTATACAAATACCTTGGTTTACTCGTGGAAAACTTCCTGGCTTTTTATTTTGAATCAGGAGGGCTATCTCCAAGGTTAGGACCACATTGAACAACGATGCATGGTAAACTCAATGAATTTTTATTGGAGCACAACATAAGACTTTTTTGGTGTTCATTTCATAGTATGCATCATTGTCGATTGAAACTTGAAAGGATAGGTTTACTAAGTGTTTGAAGGTGCATTTCCATTTTGTTATTAGGTCACCGGAGATTTACAATTACTTATCAATAGTGACAGGAGAAAAGATGCTTCTCCTTTGGACTGGGCTCACTGATTATGCTCATTGAACTTAGCATTTTTAGTTATTTTGCCAAGTGATATGGCAGCAGCTGAGCAAGATGTGGGCTCTTTGTTTCTGTTTCTATAATAATTGCAGTGCTTGTGTAGTCTGCTCTAGGTCTTGGATTCTTGGGGCTCCGGGATGCCTTGGTTTTTTAATAGCTTTTGTACGTCTGAAAGAAGTAACAATCAACAACTTTCCGTGTAACACTTAGTTCGGTGCTTTGGTTTTTAATGATCACACGTTTGAAATAAATCTTCAGATAACAGGAGGCAAGTCAAGTTTTGAGCTCGGTGAGTGTTTAACCTTAATTGTTTGTATACTAGAGGTAACTCGTGCTTGAAGGCACGGTACAATGAGAATGCTTTTGAGAGAGATGCTAATGTCTGTTGGATGAGTCAGTTTGAGACCATCAAATGAGTTAATTGAACCCAATCCTGTTTATATTATAGATTGTATTGCATAATTTGCCTTCTTAGCACTCCCTCCCAAACCCAAATGTTTACCATGCATATTCTTCTGATAAATAGAGGCTGGTGGTAGAGAACTAAGAAGAGACCAAAGACATCTTGGTGATATTACTGAGGAACGTCTTTATCAGAATATTTTTGCTTCTCACTTTGGACAATTAGCAATAATTTTTCTATGGACTTCTGGAAATCTGTTTCATGTAGCTTGGCAAGGAAATTTTTAATCATGGGTACAGGACCCTTTACATGTAAGAAACCTTTACTACTAAAAAGAAAACACAAATAAAAAAAGCTAGACTGTTCATCAATTTTTTCGGTCAAATCTATGATGCTATCCATGTAGGTTGATGCCCGAGACAAAGACATATAAATTCTTTGATCTTGTGCAATTGGCTCGGTATGACTCCAAGCTTTGGAACAGAAAATACAAAGTATAGAATTTCACACTTTCAATTTCCTGAAATATCAGTTAGGCTACAGCCCCTTTTTCATTATATCTATAGTATCAATTAAACAGAGGAACTGACAAAAGTGAGACCACCCCTATCTTCCCCTAGTTTTAGCACTTAATCAACCAGCAACTTGTACTAAAATCTTTTCTCAAGAAAATTCATTGTCCTTGTGTAAGTTGAATTGCATTCAGATCATCCAGTAATTTCCGAAGAAGCAACCCAACTTCATCTGTTACAGACAGTTCAGCTTCAACTGCCTTCTTGACACGTTCTAGCACTTCAACACTTTTTAGAGTCTTTCCATTATCACCAACATTTCCATCTTCACAACTGGAAACCCCATGAAATGCACCAACCCATCGATGCAAACTGCAATCAGATTTGCAATGCTGCAAAGAAAAGTAAAAATTTACAGTTAGATTTGTTTAAATTTCTAAGCAATGGACTCTGAATGCAATCCTATTTTGTAATTAATGGCCCTACTTCGGCCTTAATTACTCAGGCAGAATAACTGTTAATCAGCACTTATACCTTATACTTCCTCCATTGTGCAATTTCCTACTTTAATTTCGACATAAAAATGTGAAAGAAACATGCATTTAACATAAAAAAAAAAAACTCATTTGAATCAAAATCACGTACCAGTGGGCATGCATAGTGTATTTGCGTTGAAGAAGTTATAGAATCCAGGCAATCAGTTCTCGCAGAATCTAGGACATATTCTGTGCTATTACTTTTGTCAACCTTTAAAGCTGTCTGCAATATGTTGTCCTCATTTTCCTTAGACACACATCCTATGACAATCGAAGATGCCCCAGTATCATCATCCAGTAATATGTTGTCCTCATTTTCCTCAGGCACAAAGCCTATAACAATTGAAGATGCCCCAGCATCATCATCCAGTAAAGGTCGTAAATTTTTTTCTTCCTCTTCCTTCGATGATGACGCCTTCACGAATGAAGAATTTGAAATGTTCTCATTGAATGTCAATAATAAATTATCCTCAATATCCTTGGAAACGAATTTGTCATCATCTTTAGCTATTAGACTATCATGATAAACCACCACATTCGATGAAATAACTACTTCATTTTCCTGCAAAACATCTTCTGCTGCCTTAAAATCTTCGTGAATCACTTCTTCATATAACACAGCTTCTTCATGATCCTTTAAAGCATCTTGAACCACAAAAGAATAAATAGGATCTTCTGGAAAAACAGGTTCTTTGATTTCCTTGAATGCTGCTTGAGCTGATATATTATCCATACAAACCTCGTCTTTGGATAGAAGTGCTTCTTCACTTTCCTTCAACTCTGACACAATTTGTGAGTCCAAAGTCTTATCATCAACGGATGGCAATACTTCCCCTTCCTTTTCCTTCGAACCCAATTTAACATCTTCTCGAGCCGCTTCATTGTCAATGTGTCCTGTTCCTTTGGAGATAGTGTCAACTGTCTCAGCCAAATCAATGACAGTTACAGTTTCAATGACTAAACTATTATCGCCCTCAACTACAGCATGTCTGGTTATCCCAGTGATTTCTGTAAAGAGATTCATGAAGCACTTATAAATCAACTATCAAGCAACTTCAACAAGTATCAAACGTATGTGTAACAAAAAAGTGGAGAGATAGTCAAGAAACTGCAAAAGGAGTGCTTTACTAACTAACTAGCACTAAAATACGCATATACTTGTTAGCCAACCCAGCAAACAATCTTTATTTCATATAATGACTAATGATGTTGTTTTGTTTCATGGTTTCAATTAGCATAAAAAAAAAAACGTTCGGAAATGTTTCAGATATGAGAGAAATATTTGGAATTTTGATTCAAAAACATTGACCGAACCGAAACATTATGAAACATCGAATTCCGATATTTCACAAAAAAAAAAAAAAAGCTTCTGTTTTTCCTATGAAACTATCAATAAGTAATAATGTACTATGCAAAGAACAAACCAAGTTTTTACCTTCCAAGTCTGTTGCATTGTTGTCTTTGAAATTGACTGCGTTTTCATTCCTCCTCTTGGCAGCTCTCCTCTTCTTTGGACCTGACGGCATGACTGGTTGTTGCCAGAAAGAGAGATTAGATAGTTATTTATAGTGGAGAAGGTTGGTGTATGTGGTCTGTTGGGATTCTGGGGATAATTATAGGCCTTCAAAGTGATGAACTAATTGTTTAGAGTTCCCAAGAAGAATGGGGTTGGGGAATTGGAAGCGGCAGGAGACTGCGATGTTTAGTGAGCCTGCCATAAAGTTGGGTTAGATTAGTTGAATTCAATGTGGACAGCTTGTTTTTTCTCCAGTTCTTTCACTTAAATTCCACTTTTTTTTTTCTTTCTTTAAAGCAGAAGACTAGGAAATTTGGTAACTCATGGAAATTTATAGAACTAGGGTGAATCTATGTTCATTGCATTAGTAATTTGGATTCAATTGTGCAGCACTACATGTCATAGTAGTTCCTTTTTCTTGGTTGAACTCGTGATTCTAACTATGACTCCTAACTGACTCGAACGTGTCCCGGTTGAATAATTTGAGTTATCATCGTCGACCCATATTTTATCCGGCGAGACCATTTTTGTGACGTTAAGATATAATTTCAATCTCTCGTTATGTCCAATTTTTTAGCCTGTCATTTTGTGAATATCGGCCAATATCATTTTGTAATACCACAACCTTTAGGTGGACTTGAACAATCACTTCCTTCTAGTAAAAGGAAAATGCTGATTGATTTTGACTTCTACAAATAAGATTGAAAAGAATGAGTCAATAATGCTTTTGGTACTTAATGTATATTTTGTTCGTCGGTTGGTATTTAATGTATTAATTTGATCTTTAAAATATTTAATTCGTATTTAAATGGTTCATAACTAGACAATTTATTAGGTTTTTTTGACAAAAATAATCACGTGTCATTCTTTCAAACAATATTACGTGATCAACACATGATTATTTTCATCAAAAATTTAATGGATAGCCGGTGTAAGAATTATTTAAATATAAATTGAATATTTTAAAGACTAAATTAACAAATTGATACATTAAGAGTTAAATTGACAAAACTAAAGTACTTTAGGGTTTAAAATTTCTATTAACTCAACCAAAAGAAAAAAAAGTTTCTTAGTTTATCAGTGTAAATACGGCGTCGTGTCGTCCAGTTACAAGAAGGGGGGGGGGGGGGGGGGGGGGGTGTTAACTGTTTTCTACCCCCGTTTTTCCACAAACTTCCTCACAAATTATAATTTTCTCTACAAACACCAAAAACTTTCTCGGGAATTATACGGGAAATGGCAATGGCATCCTTTCTCATCTCTCTCTCCAAAACCCTTAAACCCTCCCCTGCGAAATCCCCACTCCTCAACCACATTGCCAACCCATCCAAAACCCACCTCAAACTCCCCCTCAATCTCAAACCCCCACCTCTCACTCTCCTCTTCAACACCAACATCGCCAAACCCCACAAAACCCCATTCAAACCCCAAGCCACCCAAATCAAATCCCTTTTCACGGGCATTGTGGAAGAAATGGGCGAGATCAAGCACCTGGGTTTCACCAAAGACGATTGTTTCAACATGAAAATTCAAGCCAAAACCGTTCTCGAAGACGTCCACCTCGGCGACAGCATTGCCGTAAACGGAACTTGCTTAACAGTCGCAGAATTTGACTCCAAATTTTCTGAATTTACCGTTGGTTTATCCCCAGAAACTTTGAGAAAAACCTCGTTGATTTAATTAGTACCGGGGAGTTTAGTAAATTTGGAGAGAGCATTGAAACCCAGTGCGCGAATGGGTGGGCATTTTGTGCAGGGACATGTGGATGGGACTGGAGAGATTGTGGGGACTGAGGTTGAGGGAGATTCATTGTGGGTTAAGGTTAGTACTGATAAAGAGTTGTTGAAGTACATTGTGCCAAAAGGGTTTATTGCTGTGGATGGGACTAGTTTGACTGTGGTGGATGTGTTTGATGAGGATGTGTGTTTTAACTTTATGCTGGTGGCGTATACGCAGCAGAAGGTGGTGATTCCTCTGAAGAAAGTCGGTCAGAAGGTGAATTTGGAGGTGGATATACTTGGTAAATATGTGGAGAGGCTTCTTAGTAGTGGGTTTGTCAATGCCATCAAAGTTTCATGACCCAGAAGTATGTAGTTTGATTTCTGTGTTCCTTTTACATTTAATTAGATGTGTTACTGTTCTTATGTCATTTGAGGTGAATTGTTATCATGTTGTCTCACTTTGCTTGACAATAGAAATAATAATTTTTGATTGTTGTGCTTACAGTGTTTGGTTTTGAATGATGCATCTTTTTTATGTTTATCATCTGTATCACTACCACCTTGCAGGGAGATTATGGCATTTATCTTACCTCGTTTGGACATTATATGTGCAGTATGTGGAATTTCTCTCGTATGTATTTATGTGTTCATTTCATGCAACTAGGTTCATAAATATCAACGGGAAATGGAAGTTCACATTTCAAATTGTATTTTGGTAGCATTAATTTAAAAAATGGAGAAAATGAAATGAAACACAAAAGAGAGAAAATTTGGCTTATACCGTCCTTTTTTTCGTTATGGGAACTCACTCTTAATATTGTCAAGTGTTAACAAACCCATTGCATAGTAGATTGAGATTGCACAACCTATTTTTGTCCACTTTTAATGATTCTTTCCTTTTCTTCCATTTAATATTTTCACCTTACAAGCCTGATAAAGTTATTGAGGCTTTTGACGTACACACTTAATGAGTGGTGAACTGTTTGACGAAAAACTTGTTGATTTAAGACCATTCTTTGCAGTTCGAATGGTCTTAAGACAGCAGAGTGAAGTTGAGTTAAATGGAAATGTTGTATTACTTATGCATGTCAAGCATGACATTTCTATCTCTGCTTGGCTCTTTCAGACAATCAGTTCCTATCACGTGTGAACTTCATCAGATTTGATCAATATGTTTGGGCCATGTACTATGTGATCATGAATTTGATTATTAACTACTGGTGAAGCAATGTCATGCGGTTAACTATGCGTGAGATTGAAGCTACATGTGAGAAACCTAATGATCAGAATCCAAACTCTTGGAGCTTTGCAGTTGTTGGCCGACTTAGTTGCATAAATTCATGTACAAGTTGGCCCTGGAGTAAACCATTGTCTCCCATTTTTCTTTAGGATTTGGTTTTTACTGTTTCTTTCGACTCATTGCTATCAGGTCTATAACCTTCTAGAATTTAGCAAACCAATAATCTGGACTCCTGCAAGGGATTTTTGGTTTATTAGTGATTATGTCAAGGGCCCAGAGTTGGGACCATCAATTAGGTTATCCGTGGACAGAGTGTTGGAACATGAATTTGGTAGTTAGAAAAGTTATTGTGTGGATTATTCTAGATTCAAGCAAGGTGCGCACATCCGGATGATTTTAAACTATTTCTCGAGTATTCCAGTTGTTGACAATTTTTCTAAGATGCGCTTGCTAGATTTTACAAGTTAATCACCAGAACACAACATCATTACCCATCTCACCTTAGCTTTGATCATGTCTAGTCTTGGTAGAGTAATGGATTTCTGAGAGCACTTGTTCCTTGTAGGCTTCCCATTAAGGAATTTATGAGAATAATTCTTCCACTTTTTCCTGATAAAAGTTTGTCTAACTTTTCTCCTTCCACCAGCACCACTATTATGCCTTTCCCCCCTTATAATTCTAGTTGGGTAGGATTATGGTAAACCTAACAAGGAGTATTACTTGGAGAATCTAGTTGGGTTCAACATCCTAAAAGGCTTATTACCAAATTTATAGCAGATTTGAGTTGCTTGTAGATATGGAGATAAATAAATATTTCCGTGTAGTTCTAATGCATTCCGATAAAACTATGATACAGTTTCCAAAGAAACCAATATGTGGTAGTTTTTCCAAAAAGAGAGAAGATATGGGTACACTCACGTGATAAAAGGACACGTATAAGGTATTGTTTTAGATAATTTTGATAGAAGATGCTTAAGAGCTGTTGTTAATAAGTTTTACAGTTTCTTCTTTTGTATAAGGACTCAACTCAACTAAAGATTTGAGGTAGCCTATGTAAATCCTATCCATCCGTTATGCTCTATCAAGGGACATACTTTATGTTAAAATCACAAAAGATCATATCTTTTTTTACTATCGAATTCAAAGTTAATTTCAGTCTATTTCTACTCCTCGTATCACTGTTGATAGTTGTCACATCATTTGTCATTACTGGTGTAATTATTGGTTTTCTATATATTCGTCCAAATCATGTAAATCGATTTTCTCTTAATTTATCCTTTCTTAATGCTACTTTACCGGTTCAAGAATGTACTAATTCCTAATTCTATTCTTTCTTGTTTTACAACATATTCAACTTAATATTCTCATTCATGTCACCATTCATTTTTGAATGTGTTGTTAATTGCTTAATATGTTTTGCTATAAAGGATTACTGGTCTAATCGATGATTTACGTTTCAACTTAAGGTTCAGGATGAAATGGTTGTTAGCCGTTATTGAATGAGTAAAATTAATAACCTAATGGACCAAAGAGCATCTGATAGAGAGGGTGAGGGAGAATGATGGTTGCTAGTGAAGTGGGAGAAATTGCACACTTAAAGCCACAAATGCTTTAGTTCTTTCTTGTGTGTTTGCGTAATCACTCCTGCCAAAATGTTTCACAGTAATTAGAGGCGCCAATCGAGACAAGTATATTAGCTTCGGTTCAGATAAAATTTGGCTCGAGCTTAATTTGTGCTTTAAACAAGTTGAGTTTTAATAATTTTTTAAGCTCGTTTAGAAAAATGAGTCTTAAAAATTTGGCTCATTTATATGTACAATTGTTGATCTATTCGGACTCGGGTTCGGCTCGAGTTCTAAATGAGACTTGAATAATTTTGTAATCTCATTTAGAAAAATAAGTTCACTAGATTCGGGTTTAAGTTCACAAAATTTGACTCGATTAATACCCTTAATAATAACGAAGATATAGACTGATTTTTGTTGACTCTGTACCTTTGGGGTACCGTGCTGGTTATTCTTTTATTTTTGTGTACTCTTTTAGAATGACTGTCAAGCACTTGCCCTCCTTACTAACACGCCCACCCCCCACCCCCCCCCACCAAAAAAAAAAAAAAAAAAAATTTTAAAATTTGTGTAGCGATTCTAGTCCGTTTTATTTTCAACAAATAAGTGGTCTATTCGGCCCCTACAACAAATTGTTTTACTTTTGTATTATGCAGACATATACAAACCATTGACCGACATGATTTAAGAGCACAGAAGTTTTGGTGTGCAGAGGAGTTCATTCTCTTATTGCTTCTTGCACTCTTTTTCTTCTTTTTCTCATACTATTGGCAATTCTTGACCCGGCGCAACAGAAACGACAAGAACCCAAGACCCAAAAATTTTCATAAAACCCATGATTTTGGGTTCGTAAAGAACGCATATGATGAGTGAAAATTTATATAGTCAGTTGAAAAAACAATGTGCATAATGTCTCTCTTTGTGTAATTGAGTTAACTCTAAATTTGTTATTTATTAAAACCCAAATTAAAAATTTCAAAATCCCATGATTCTGGGTTCATAAAGAACGAGTGAAATTTTATACAGTTAGTTCAAAAATCAATGTGTATAATTTATCTATTTGTTGTCACAGTTTCAATTAACACTTTTAAATCTGTATAATTGAGTTAACTCTATGGTGTCACACTATCTACCCAAACTATTCGAATGGACCAAGCATACTCTTTGACATGTTTTTTTTTTTTTTTGAAAAATTTCAACCACTCTCTCTAGTTTATTATATTATCAAGGACATCCCCTCTATTTTTTAAATCTTCATTGACACCCCCTGTCACATTAAAAATATTAACTAGGATGCAATTTTATTAAATTACCCATGATATATTTGAGGACAAATTTCATCCGCACTCCCTCTAGATAAACATATTTTCAATGAGACCCCCTCTATTTTCTAATTTTTTTTACGTATTAAAATTCGAACCGATTAAAACTCGATTCAAGCTAATTAATTTTTTTTTTTGCATATTAAAATTTGAGCAGATTAAAAATTATTTTTAATCGACTCAAATCAAATTTTAATCAACTCGCATTGAATTTTAATCAACACAAATTATTATACATAAAAAAAATATAAATTTTAATTGACTCAAATTTTAATAAATCGAATTTTAATTGACACGAATTTTAATAACTAAAAAAAATATAAATTTTAATCAACTCAAAAGCGAATTTTAATCGGCGCTAACAACTCGGGTAGATTTTAAATCAGCTCAAATTTTAATACTTAAAAAATAAATTTTAATACGTTAAAAAAATAAAATTTAATCAGCTTCAATCAAATTTTAATTGGTTCAAATTTTAATATGTAGAAAAATAAATTTTAATCGACCCGAATTTTAATAAAATTTTATGTAGAAAAGTTACTTAAGGTTTATGTAGGGGCATTTTTGGTATTTTAGATGAATTTTTTTGGTTAAAAATGGTAGTTTAATAGTAAAGGGTGTTAGTGAGGTGTAAATATAAACTAAAAGGGGGCGTCAGTGATGTTTTTTATAATAGAGGGGGTGTCTTTGAAGATATAGTAAATTAGGAGGGGTGTGACTGTATTTTTTTTTTTTTAATTATTGAAAGGGTTACTCTCAAATTGTACCTCGAAAAATTGTTCGAATTTTAATTTGCACTCTCAAAGATAAAAAAACTCAATTTACACACTCAAAAATAGAAAGTTGTATCAATGAACACTTCAAGCTAACGACTTTCAGTTGGTCGTCTAAAACTAAATGGATAAATTACACATAGATCCTTTCATACTTGTCACCTAATCACCTAGACACCTCACATTTTGAAATATTACACCTATATCCCTTGAGAACCTAAATATGACTAAAAATATTTCCCCAACTGGACATTTAAATAATTCTATTTAAGTTATATATTGCATTAGATATAAAGAATATTATATAAATATCTGCATTATATTATATATTCAAATGGTAAGGTTAATTTTGAACTTAAGAATATAATGGATCTATAACATAAAGGATAGTATGAAATTAAAATTTTTTTATTAGGACAAAATTATATTTTTTAACAATTATATTAATAGATATTAACGATAAGGAGTTATGTGTTACACGTGCACAAACGTCAAGAGATATAAGAGTAATATTCTAAATGTAAGGGGTCAAAATAATTAAGTGACAAGTATGAGGGGATTTAGGAATAATTTATTCATTTAATTTTAGACGTCAAACTAACGACCGTTGATTTTAGGTGTGCATTAATATAAATTCCTATACTTGTGGATGCAAATTAAGTGAGGGTACAAATTAAAATTCGAACAAACTTTTGAGATATAATTTTCAATTAACCCTCGATGAAATAACTCTTTTAGTTGGCAAGATAGTGGGTATTCGTTGGTTCCACGTGAAATGGATATGGATGTTTTGTTGTATTAAGTCACTCTATTAAGTTTGGTGTTTCAATTAACACTTTTACATCTGTATAATTGACTTAATTCTATATGCCACTTTATTACCCAATCTATATGAATGGAACAAGCGTACTCTTTAACATTTTTTTGTTTTTTGTGTGTTGTGCATGAATTTACTCTTTGTAGTTACACTCTCAAACTAGATTTATGAATTGAGTACCAACATTCAAATTTTGTGCTTATGTGTGGATTCACTCTTTGTTGTCACATGACAAAAAAAAAAAAAAAAAAAACTCTTTGTTGTCACACTATCAGATTATCTTACCACTGTTTTTTTTAGGTAAGTTGGGCAGGTCAATCTGAGTTCGACCTGAAAAAATAGGACTTGAGTTGAGTTTTAAAATCTTATGCGCCCCTCTCTCACTCTCTTTCGTTCTCTGTCTCTCTTAGTCTCTCAGCCTCCCTCTGCTTTTCTCTCAAATAGTTAGATCTGTCAAGACCACAACGACTCAATTTACGTCGAAGACCACAACGACTTAGAAGACCTTTCTCAGATCTGAGCCGAAGACCACAACGACTCGAATGACCTCTCTCAAATCTGTGCATCTTTCAACGAAGAACATCACTGGGCAGATGGTGGCAGTGGCTGTGGGCAGTGGTTGTGGTGGCTATGGTATTTTGGACCTTTGAGTTTAATTTCTTTGTGTTGATTGTGTAATTTGTAATCCGAATTCTAACTCGAAATCAATCTGAATTAAGAAACTCGAATTCAACTTGAGTTTTCCTGAATTTAACTTGAGTAGTACTTAGGGTTAGTGTTGAAGATTATATACCTATGGTTGGGTTAGAATTGACCTCTCAACCCACTCAACCTGCTTGAGTTGCACCCCTACTGTTTTTTT